AGAAGACTTTTAGTGGGACACCTACAGTCCCAGCACTTGCAAGATTGAGCAGGAGGACTGCTGAGAGTTCAGCACCAGCCTATGCTACACAGTGAGACCATGTCTCAAAAAAAACCCAAAAAAGTGGCAAGAATCACAAGTGTGTCTGAGGCAAGGGGGAGGGTTCTGAGGGGGATTAATGGCAACATGTCTTTTAGTATAATTTTAAATTTAAATAACATTTTGGTGCCACATACATACGTGATTCAAGTAATTCTCACAGTATCTGTACATACTGATATTAGCCCTTGTCACACAAGGAAGGTAACTGAGGCCAGAAAGTGGATGGGGTTCCCTGCAAAGCAACACACCAAGGCAAGAGTTGGGTCTGGGGCTCAAGCAGGGCAACCAGCTGCAGAGCCTGGATCTCAACACCAGCTGGGTTGTTGTGGCCTCACCTTGCCAAGCAGAAATGACTCACAGGCAAGCAGGCTCAGTGTGGCCCAAAACTGCGGTCCCTGTCCTGTCCTACCCGCCCAGGAGGGCTGCACTGCCCTCTGCCTCACTCCTGGGCATGATCATCTCGGCCACCTCTTATTCTACACTAGGGCACGTGGCCAACTCTGCATGAAGAGTGAGTGGCGGGGCCACAGCGCTGTCTGGTAACTGGGAGAAGCTCATGCTGCTGCGCGACTGTGAGCGGCCAAGCTGCGCAGGAACAAAGGAGCCGCAAAACAGTCAGTCTAGAAAAAGCTAATGCCGCTTTGTCACCAGTGACTGAAAGGACCTTCAGCGCCTGGCTGCTGGTGCCTGTCTTTACCCCTGGCTACAGGGCCTGACGCCATTTTGACAAGTTCAAATTTGGGTATAGTGTGGCTGGCAGCCACATTTTCAGGGATTTTCCCATTCTGGGCTCTGCTTTTATTTTCTGCTTTTGCCACAGCCCCTTGCTTGACATCCCCTCCTCCACTAAGGCCACAGTGGAGAATGGTATTGAAAGCAGCCTGGTGACACTTGAGAAAGGGCCACCTTTTCCCCAGCTGTGGCCATGTGGTACTTTCCCCTTCCTTTTCTTGAATCATTGCCCCCCACCCCCAATACTGGGGACTGAAGCCAGGGTCTTCACAGTGAAATATATTCCTAGCCCTTCTTACTTTTCATTTTGGGACAGGGTGTCACCGGGCTGGGCTCCAACTTGCAATTCTCCTGCCTCAGCCTCAGAATGCTTGGATTACAGGTTGAAGGGCTAGAATCTCAGAAATCTTGACAGATGCCCTGTGTGCGCACTGGACTAAAACCCTATCTTGCTTTGCAAGCCTTCTTATGCAAATGAGTCCTGGTCCCTTTTTTATACTTGTGGCTCCCTAAGAAACAGGGATTGTAGGGTTAGGAGAAAACTTCAGCCCATGGAAGGCAGACTGGCTTCTAAAATAGCCCTCTCTTCCTTTCGCTAATCTGCTGAAAGCATCTCGAGCATTTCCTCTGCTAGAGGAGCAGGACCTTGGCAGAGGAAGGCCAGGCCTCCACAGTTAGTGGGACACTTACTTTGTATGAGGTAATACAGAAGGGGCCCAATTCCTGTGCAGAGGGCACTGCTGTAAAGAAGTGCCTTTCTCCAGGAAGCTTGCATGCTGCTTCTATGCTTCTAGGAGACTTAAAAACAAAAGTTACAAATTTGTTACTGAAAGGTTTATTTTTGCCCAGGGCCTTTGCTTGGATTGGGCTGCGCAGGGAGAGGAGCACCGAGGAGGAGGAGCCGAGCCACAAGGAGGCAGAGCCACCCTCCCTCCCCTGCTTCCTTCAAAGGCGATGGCCAGTTCTGCAGCCCTAGCAGTGCTCCCCAGCAGGTGCCCTCGCGAGGGTGGCTCGCATCCAGGCCTAGGCCGCAGGGGCCCTGCCAGCCCCCTGGCCAAGCACAGAGGGAACATTCAGCCCACCATCTTGACAGACAGAACCTGGCCTGTTTGCCAGGCCTAGCACAGCTAGGAAGCATAGCCACTTTGTCTCGGGCCTGCTGGTAAACAGGAAGCTTAGCCTTCTGTGGCAATAGCCGGTCTTGGAAGCCTGAAATGGGCTGGGGCTGTCACTGGTTTCTTTCATATTTTACAAAATGGCCCCACTCCCTCAGCAAGGAAACGTTTCTTATAACTTTCAGGCTGAGTGAACAGATGGAGCAGCGCCAGCAAGCCCGCTCCACCCTGGCTGTGACCCCTTCCCTGAAGGCCGGGTGGGGCTGGTGCAGCACGTGGGCCTCATGGAGCAGCTTCTCCTCCTGCAGCCCTTTAACCACTGCTCACACTAGCTTGAGACCTTCTGGAAGGCTGTATAGTGCGTAGCCAGAAAACAGAAAAAGACCACGGCAACAATGGCACACAACAGCCGGAAGCCACAATTCAAAAGCCCACAGGTCATGTTAATGAGAGCAGCTACTGTGGCGAGGCCCACACAGCCCTGCCCAGCCCAGCCAAGGAGCTGCTTCAACCTGGCTCCACTCAGTGCAAAGATGGTGGCCAAGCCTCAGTGGACTTTTCCACTTCTTGAGACACACAGGAACCAGATCTTTCTTTTATATGAAACTGCCTGAATTCTAAATGTTATAGCCACCAGTGGTACCACCATCAAAGCCCTTGCAAACTACAGCTGTGGGTCAAATCTTTCTGTGGGCTTTAATTTGCTTTAGCCCTCAGAGAGCCTCCACCCTAGGTGAGACTTAGGTAAATGACTGTGTCTGCTGACATTGCTCCAAAAATAAATAAGATTTTGGATAGAGACAGGAATTTCAGTTTTAGACAAAGGTAAAGGCTCCATAAAGACACACATCCACCTTGAAGACTGAACCTTAGAACTGGTTATGCTTTAGACAACAAAGCCCTGGAGGAGGCCTACAGGTCAGAGGTGCTGCAGCTGGGAGCCAGGCCCAGCACAAGCTCCTTCACTGGCCAGTCTGCCAGAAAGGTTAGACATAGCCCCAGCAGGTACCCCAGGGCAGAGCACTGAGAGTGGTGACAGGTACTTCTACCCATCATTCCTGTAACTGTGGAGGTGAGTCCAGGGAAGCCCCACTGGACAAAGTTCCTTATGATTAAATATATCCTACCACTGACCAGTTCTGTACAGAAATACAATTTAACAAGTTAAGAAGAGTCAAGCTGTAGACCATTTTTGTATTATCTACTTCTATACTGTGTTGTCCAACTATGAAAGGGCTGTTAAAACTGCCAACAAAGATACGGTAAGTGCAAGGAGTTTGGGTAGGTACTGCTGTACAGCACACATGGGACTGTGCAGACAACTTCAGCAGCGTGACCTGGGAAAGGCAGTTCTCATAATGAAATGTCAAGGCATCTCCAAAGAATGTATGAGTCACAGCAGCTTCATCTGAGAGAGCTCAGCTGGGCGGGGTGGGGCAGGGCAGCCAGACTGAGACAGCAGGGCCTCCCACAGTAGCTGCCACAGCTTCTGAAGCCACTGAGACCCTAGGAAACAAGGCAGAAAATACCGATGTGAAGGACTGGCCACAAGCAAATGCTAAGGACCAGTGGAAACCCACAGTTGGGGAAGGGGTGAGGGGCGCAACGGCCACCTACAGTCTGACCTGACAACTCCAGCATGGGGAGCTGGGTAGCAAAGCACCCCATTACCTTGGTCACTTCATAGCAGAACTCTCTTGAAAATCTTCAGAGGACAGTGGTCCTACAATCAGAAAACATTTTACATTAAAACTATCTCTTAGGGCTGGGGAGATGGCTCAGTAGAATAAGCGCTTCCCTGGAAAGCGCAAGGGTCTGAGTTCAATT